TGGACACATAATATGTGACTTGATACAATGGAGTTTCTCACGAGAAAGGAAATCTGTCTGAAAAACTCTAAAAATTGTTTTTCTTTTAATTCAGGAAAAATGGGACAGACACAAAAATTGACAAATGAAAAAGCATTCGCTGATCAAAGGGAAAAATTCAGAGGAATGGATGGAGAGAATTTTAGGTCAAATTTCAGGTACTACTTTCTATTAACCTGGATTTTCTAAAGATGATCACGTGGGATCTAAACAAGACATCCAAGAAATTTCCGACATGTCAAGGGCTCTTTGACACAAAATGGTGGCTACAAATATTGCCACATGAAAACATACCAAAGAGGTTTTTCCTGTTTTTTTTCGCAATTGAAGAAAAACTTGAGGATTTTCATCTGCACACAAAATTTTCAAACCGTTTTTGGGTGTCTTAGAGCCAAAAAGCTCTTTGATTCAAAATGGCGGACACAAAGAACTGCACTCACTAGGAACATCCTACACAGTATTTTTTTCCTTTTTCTTTCAAGAACTTGAGGATTATAATGCCCACATTAATTTTCAAGTCGTTTTGGTTGTCTTAGAGCCAATAGCTCTTTGATCCAAAATGGCGGAAGACTAAAAAAAAGTTTCAAGATGTGAAAACAACTTCAAAGCGATGCTTTGATCCGTTTTAGAGCAAAAATACTGCACATGCTCATACTTGTCATTCAAATGCAGTACAATGCTTTTAAAAAATTATGAAATATCCCGCTGCCTCAAATTTCTGGACTGAACCAAAAAAAGCTTTCTCAAACTAAAAATCGCATAAAATCTGCATCTGAGAAGTTCACGCGTTAACATTTAAATTCTCGGGGATTTTCACATGCAAATTTTTGGACATAATCAAATTTCCGAAATCTCCGATTCGACATGGCAATCAAAAATAAAATCTATTCGATTTCAATTTCTATACATTTGTTAGAGCAAAACAGCGTTTTCTGACAAATAGCTTAAATAAAATTTCCCGTGAATCTGCAGTTTCAGATATTGGAATCAATATTCGTTTTGAAACCTACACCAATAATGTTCATCTCAAACCTTTTCATCAAAGTGTGTATCAATTTTTCTTCACAGAACAAAAGTTTTCTTTTTTTTAATGAACAACAAAGAAATCGAACTCCGACAAGTAAATACAAAAAAAAAAATCCGTCGATCGATATTCACAATCCTCAAAGCGTTCTGACGCAATAGTCCTTTTCACGTCAACAACATCCACTTCAACAAATCCAACAAAGGCTCAACCAAAAAGCTGAGGATTGTATCTATAGGCATTCTCGGAAGAATTTCCTTTTGTTCCACGAATTCTCGTGTTAAGCTCCTTCGGATTTTTATATATATTTTAGCAGAAACCAAACAAAAAAAATTGCTTCATCGGAAATTTGGGGAAAAAGAGGTTCCCCTTATGCATGGATGCATAAGATCAAGAGATTGAGTGAAGATCAATAGTTTGCCCTAGAAGTCTTGGAAATTTGCTCGCAAAATCTACTTGTACTCGAGAAAATGATCAAACACGGTTTCCTGAAATGTTTTCCTTTGATGAAATATTTATCCAACCCCGTCATGATGGATCAAAGAGCCACAATCTATCAACAACAAAAAAATACTGAGAATTTCTCGTCCCAAAAAAAAAAATAGATCCATCACTGGAGTATTTTATACGACAGAAATCGCAGAAAATCTTTTTTTTTTAAGTTAAGAAAATATGACTGAACCTTCCGGACAAAACATCACGGTCTTCTTCGCATTTTTTGCTTCAGGGGTTTTTCTTCCTTTCCAAAAACAGAGAACTGTGACTTTTTTTCGCAGACCTTCATATTAAATCGCGAAAAAACACAAAATTTCTTCAATTAAAGTAATGTACAATTACAATCATAGGGGTTCTAAAAAACTAAGAGAATATGACTGAACCTTCCGGAAAAAACAACGGGTCTTCTTTGCATTTTTTGCTTCAAGGGTTTTTCTTCCTTTCCAAAAACAAAGAAGTGTAACTTTTTTTCACATACCGCCATATTGAATCACGAAGAAACGCAAAATTTCTTCGATGAAAGTAATGTACAATTAAAATCATGGGGTTCTAAAAAACCAAGAAAATATGACTGAACCTTGCGGAAAAAAACAACAGGGTCTTCTTTGCATTTTTTTCTTCAGGCGGTTTTTCTTCCTTTCCAAAAACAAACAAGTGTGACACATTTTCTTTTCGCATATCGCCATATTGAATCACAAAGAAACACAAAATTTGTTTAATCACAGTACTGCACATTTACAATCATGGGGTTTTACATTTACTTAAAAGTTAAAATCAAACTCGCTGAAATGTTCTCATTTGATCAATACCTTTTTAAAATCAAATATTCACGGCTTCTGCGACAGACAAACATTTTTATGGAATCCCTTTCGCTCGAAACGACCATGAATTTTTTTTTAATCAACCACTGAGATATAAAAAAAACAATTTGAAAGTTACACGAACTTGTCGTGAGGAACGTTGAGATTCCATCGATAAAACAAATATGAATAATTCAATTCATGAATATTCTATTCTCTCGAAATTGTATGCGATTATTCCTAGCATGTCCAGCGGTGCTCTTGTTTATGCCTCAGCCCTTTCCAATGATCTAGAAAAAATTCAATGAACTTTTTTTAATGTGAACCCATTTAGAATAAATATCTGGCACCTGACAACCAAGAAAAATTTTCGACTGAGTCAATTTAAAGCATCAGTATCGAAACAAAAATTCACAAATTCAATTTATTAACAAATAACTTTTAAAAAATGAAAAAATCTACATAAATAACAGCAAAAAAAACAAGAAGAAGAAATAAAACTATTCTCAACACACAAAGACAATAATCACGCTAATTTGCTGGCTTTCACATTTCCAACACCAACTCACGGTTTTTTTTTTAAATCAAAAAACATACAATTCGGCAATTTAAGAAACCAAAAAAAAAGAGGGCGACTATCCGAGGCAAAATTATATCCAAGCTTTTCGAGTCCACTTTCCGAAAAACCCTTTCAGTGGTGCGTCTTTAAAAAAAAAAAAACGAGGAACACGTGTTCAATTTTTTTCTGATGATCTTTCGCCAAAAAAAAGTAGGTCCAAAAACTGGTGTCGATTTAGCTCAAATTTTCTTTTTTTTTTAAATAGGTGAGATCAGGGAAAGTTTTATTCGAGTTTCAAGGATACAATCGAATCTCCATGATGCGTAAAAAATAAATATTAAACGTTTTGTATAGCTTTAAAATTCTCTCTCTTTTCGCGGATTTCTCAGTTAAAGTAGGACACACCAGTTCTGGAGATCACCTCGAGATACCTTTGAAGTAATCGCTGCAATTACAAAAATTAATTATGAAATAAAATAAATAAATAAATAAATAAAGCAGCTTAATTGCAGGTGCATTGGATCCGTGAGAAGATCCTGGCACAGAATCCGACTGTCACACTTTACTTCACCCACGCACAACAAAACAACCCTTTTCTGACCCAGTTTCTTCCATTTCCAGAGAACTCCATCAGTCACTTTTTTTTAAGTTTTATTTATTTTTATTTTTTTTAACGTTAGTGACTCCCTTTCGACTTGTGTTGATTGCGTAGGAGTAACAGGGAGTGGTTCACTGAGAGCTTCTTGGGAAATACTCAACGTGTTTGTTTGCTCAATCCGGACAATTTATGCAAGAGCAATTTGCATATTTAAAAAATGCGGCGTGTTATAAATGTGAGGAGTGTCAAGATTTCTGCGCGCAATTTGTAATTTTCCAAGAAGAAAAAAATGTGTGCACATTTACTTCTTTTTAGACCCAAAAAGGCAGAAGTGGATTAGATTTTCAGGTCAATTCCATCTTTCCTCTCGAGTCGAGACAAAAACAAATCATCGCAACCAGAAGAAAAATATATTTTGAAATCCAATTGGATGAACGGACGATTTCAAGTTCACGCGTTTGAGAGTTGAGATAAAATTCTCGATGGAAAATTCTCGAGCATTCAATTTTCATACTTAAAGTCAAAATAGACAAAAAAATTAACACAATTTAAAATTACAAAAATAAAATAAGCTCAGAATTAAAACAATGAAATATGCTTTGAATTAACTTCATAACATACGTTTACAATCAACATTAAAAATATTTTAAAATTCAATTGTATAAACGGCCAATTTTTTTGCAAGAACTCAAGACATGAGAAAAATTATCGGTGGTAGTATTCAATTTTGGAAGCTGCGCCATTCCTAATCCAAATTTTTGTTTCAACTTAAAATAAAAATAGATAAGAATAATTAGAAATATTTTAGGAAAAATATTCTAAAATTCAATTGAAAGAACGGACGGTTTTTATTCCAGGGCTCAGAAGCTAATATGAAATTCTCAATGGAAAATTTTCGAGAATTCAATTTTCTGAAGCATGACTAAAGAAACTGTAATTAGCTGATTACTAAGGAATTTCTTCGAATAATTACGATTCAGATTTCTTTTCCTTAATTTTTTAAGGCAATATATGAACGGCTGCTTATTTAACGCATAATTACGTTTAAAATCTGAAAAGCTAGCATAATTTCAGAGGATTGCTTGAATCAGTCCAAGTCTTTCCAAATACAGTATTTCGATACTTTCTGTTTTGACAAGCGTTCATTTGAGAAAGTAACGAAGAAAAGCGGAGAGAAAAACTATCAACCATAAAATTTTCCCCTCGGGATGCTGCATCATCTATACATTTGAACGTGAATTTGATACCCGCTATTTTTGGCACTCGCTCTTTTTTCATTCCTTTTCTCCACATCGACATAATGAACCCGCTAATATAAGGAAAAGACAACAACAACAATAACAACAACAACAAAACCACAAAAATAATTTCCAAGCCGGATAAATTCTCGTCCTATTCCGCATCAATCTCCCCGATCTGAATTTATTGCCACACTTCAGATTCCCCAATATATTTCGCGAGATGAGAATTCTGTATCTTGTCAAGCCGGGCGATGACCCGGAAAATCCAAGCAAGCCCCCCTTTAGGGATGAGACACGAGATGAAAACAGGATCCGAACGGAAAAACGGGGTTCCCCCTTTTGCCCCGGGATCGTGATTAATTTCCCGGGGGTTCCAGTACCCGTTTTCGGGGGTATTCCGTCCATTGCCGCGATTACGACTTTCGCTTTCTCCTCTGTGTATTTGTTTGTGCGATGCTATTTCCGAAAGTTTCCGAATGACAAAAAAAACCAAAACAAAAGCTTAGCATGTTCTTTGACAAAATCATTCAAATTCCCAAGAACAGCGTGTCCAAATTCGAGAATTTAGAAAATAAATGAATTAAACGGAAAGAAATTCAGGACAAAACAGATAGATCTTCTATAAATTTTCGGATTGAGTCGGCCCACTTTGAAAAATTATTCTGAAAAGGAAAGTTATACTGAATTCCAAGAAGAAATGGAATATTCTTTGGCTCTCGATATTTCTTTATTTGAATATTCTTCTTGTTTTCGTGCACTTGACGTCTTTTCATTGTTTCAATTTTGACACGTCGTTCTGAGATGCGCAATTCTTGGACACACTCGAAAAGACAAAAGCCAATATTTTTAGCACATTCAAAATTCGTCTGCTTAAGATTTTCACACATTTTAATGAACTTTACAAGGTCATTATTGAACCTTTCTTGCTTTTACTTCGAGCCCTTAAATTTTTGGGATTTTTCCGATGCAACAGAAGCCAATTTGAATGATATTTTCGAAATACAGTGAGACCCCCACATGCGGACAATTCGAAATAGGGATAATTATTTTTAAAAAATGATAAAAAAAGGCCCAACATGAGGACATTGACTCAACATAGGGACATTTTGTTTAAAAATTGCAAATACATTTCAGGCCAAATTACAAGAAACAGATATTTCCAACCCGAAAATTGATGTAAGAAAATTTCTTTGGCATTTCTCTCACCAATTTACCATCCAATCAGCTAATTTAAAAAAATTACCTTCGGCAAATTACCTTCTCTATTTTTTACTTGAATATTATTTTTTGCAGAGAATGCCAACATTTCTATCTACTCTACAGAGGTATCAGTATAAAATTCCCCAAATGCCCATATTGTGTTGAAATAAATTGATTGGGAGACAATTTTTATTTTCAAGGAATTATGGTGAGTAATTTGTAAATTACATTAAACACTTATTAAAAATAATATAATGTAAGTGTAAGGGAAAATGAGACTCAACTTAGGGACATTTTGACTTAGGGACACTCTTGATGCACCAATTATGTCCGCATCTTGGGGTCTCACTGTATACGATTGAACAATTTATGAAAACTTATTGTAATTTGTTTTTGCAGATTGAAGTTCATCGCTCTGGCGTTGTTAGGTTCTTCATGATTTGTCAACGATAGTTTGTAATCATGAAAAGATTTGGAATTCAATTTAAAGCCTCTAAGAAATTGATTTTTGGGGCTGTAAATGTTCAAGCTTGAATGCTCAACAAAAGGAGAAAGCCTCTGCTATTATGAACTAAATGCAGCACACTTTTAAAAATTGCCTTTTATTTTCAACATTTTTTGTGACCATGATTTTTTCCAGGTATGCAGTCAACTTGTGTTTCTTCATTCTGAATCGTCAGCATAATTTTATGCGTAAAACATCTACAGTACCTTTTCTGAAGATTTGAAATCTTATTCAAGAATTAATTCAGAAATACTGTATTATTTTCAGCGAAGATTTTCCGCGAGTCTACAATTTCTCTCTGAAGCCGGAAAAACGCATGACCTGGAAAGCCACTATTGAAGCCACATGTGAGGCATCAAGGACCGAATATTGTTATGAGACCACTTTATGGTACCCATCGCACACGCATTGTTCAAATAGATGGCTCTTCAAACTAGGAACAACACTTTGTGAAGCCCTGCCAGCCTACATTGCAGACAAAGTTCTAAACATTTTGGGAAAGAAGCCATTTGCCATGAAAGTGTACCAACGAATGCAGCAAAATGCATTAGCTGTTGAATACTTTCTTAATGTGAGTACCGTTTAAAGCAGTGTTCCCCAACCTTTTTGGGACTGCAGACCTGCAAATTTCCATGAAATTTTTTGCCGACTGGTACATTTTCAGAAAATTTTCTGAGGACTGGCAAAGTTCCATAAAACTTTTGCAGACTCAAAAAAGTTTTGTCTGAAAGACTTTATGGAAGGTATATTTAGAACGTTTTCTGCTTTTTTGCAAAGTTAAGAACCAGTTGAGCAGCTATAGTGAAATGTCTTCAAAACCTTACTTAGGAATGCTGTGGACTTGAAGACAGATTAACAGAATGAAAGATTTTAAGAAAAATTTTTATGAGGTGAAAATGTGTCAAAAGTGTTATTATAGGATAAAAGCCAACATCTGACGTCCATGAGATAATTTCAACTGCAATTGTCTTGCTAAAATTTCAGATAAAGACACTGTAACATCCTTCATTGCTACTTTTGATTTATTATGCTGCAGAAAATTTAAACTGAGCTTATTATTCTGAACCCTCAATAATTACAATATTTGGAATTTCAAGCAGATCTCACTTGAATTCCTAATTAGACAAAATAAGAAAATTTCAACAAACTCAAATCTAAATCTTATAAATTTAGCAAAGCTGAACACATCCTATAAATTCAGATCTTCCAAACTTTTTCAAGTACAGTATCATAGAAATAAGTTTTCTTTACAGAATATTATGGCAAATAGCAAGATTTCAAAGAATGGGACCTGGTGAATTTTTTATGTGATCATTAAAACAATATTATGATGTTCTTCTTAGAACAGGATTTTATTTTATATTTATATGGAAGCACTGTTATCCTACATACGTGATTAGCAACATATAGAACTCAAGCCATGAAAGTATTTAGGTGATAAATTAAATTTTGATAAATTAAATCACGGAGCCTCAAAAAGTCGTCAACAATCGTGAAAAATAAAGAGAAATAGCAGTTTAGATTAGGGCCCTAATCTAAACTGCTAATAATTCATAAAGTTTTGAATTCGTCAGAAAGTTCAGCACTTGTTTGATCGGGTGAAGTTTGAATTGCAATACAATTCAGCAAGAAAATGAACCTTCGTCAATGCTGCATATATACCCGCAAGTTCCTTCAACAGAGAACTTGGGAATTCGAAACCAAAAACATTAATGATCTCTGGAATTCGCTGAATGACGAGGACCAAAAGATTTTTCCCTTCGACACCGGCGACGTTGACATGAAGAATTTACTGTACGCCGCCATCTTAGGAATCAGAAGTTATTTCCTCAAACAAGATCCAAAAACATTAGACCAAAGCTACAAACGGATGCGCAGGTTTGCTTCATCGGGTTGATTTCAACTCTTTTTTTTTTAATTTGCCGCTTTTGACTAATTAAGTTTCTTCTTTCCCAAAAAGGCTGTTTTGGATTCATCAAGTCACGAAATTCGCTGGCATCTTGCTGACCTTCCGATTCGTTTTTTTCGTCTTGGGACTAAGAAGTTCTTCTCTTTTTTGGCAAAAGAAATGATTTATTCCCGTTTTATTTTATTTAATTGGTCCACTACACGAATTGCAGTTGCTGCCCGGAGGAACAAAAAAAAAAAAACAAGCCTCGTTTAATGAGGACCAGGACTTCAGGAGGATGTTGTTTTCGTACTTCGAAAAGGGCCTCCTTTCTTTTTCGGGGGATTTTCCTTCAGAAAAAAAAACCGGTTTGAAACAATCTAAAGTGTGTTTTGCCCTGAGTTCACATTTATCTTCATTTATTCTCGCGTCTGCGGAGACATAAACGAAAAATTCATTGTCTCTGCAACCTTTGTCCCTTACAGTGTTCATTTTCCGTGATTCTGGAAGAATACCTCTGAACTATTTATCACTAGTATTTAAGAGAATGTAAGACAAAATTCTCACCCGCTTCAACTCACAAAAATTGTCGTGCTTTATATTCCTGGAAAAAGTTGCAATTTATGCGCTGAAAGCTTGAATAAGTGCGAGGATTCTAACAAGGAATATCTGATGAGGTGGAGGGTGAAATTCATGGATCCCTTTCAGTTGACGTTTACAACATAATTTTGAACATTTTATATTGATTTGATTTCAACATCATGCTTTATGTTCTGCTTTCCAGCAATCGCAAGGTTCAAGCAAGAAATATACCTACACTTTCTTACCTTCCCTGATCACAAAAACAAAGTATCAATAGTAAGAATTTCAGCATGAAGCAATTGCTAAACCCAAATTAAAGCACAAGGTTTTCAACCTGGATTGAGTATACCAAAAAAAATGCATACTTAGAAATTAAAATATCAGAAATCAATCATGAGCAGCTTCTTCCTCCAATGAATAATGTTTTTTTTAAACAGTGGCAATTAAGGAAGTCGTATTACTTCATATTTTTTAAAATTAGTTACAATTTTTACTAGTCGTAGTTCTTTTATATTTCTGGGCAGCACTGCACATAGATAATGAAGCATCGGGTTAATTTTTATACACCATGGATTTTTTGAAATATTGTGAATCATGTAAATAAGTGTGTCTCGAATTCGCCGGTGAAGGATTTTTTTATTTTACGTTTGGGGAACTTTAAATTATGATGATATTGTAATGCTGTTTTGAATGAATTCTGGTTTCTCATGCAATGGAAATGATCGCTTAAATATGTCACTGAATTTGTACTTGTACTGTATACTTTTTTTTTATTCGAAGTCAAAACTTTTTGTTGGCAAAATCGCCTCGAAACATTTACGATGAGTGCGATGTACTATATGCATTTATAGTCTTACTTTGGACTTTTTCCTCTATTTGAGGGAGGATTTTATTCGCAAAAAATCATTGTTTCAGCAGAGGTTTGCATAAAAAGTGTATCTTCTATTCTTCTTTCCAATTGAATGTAAAAAAAATCCAAAATCAAATGTTTTGTCACTTCACCAAAGAATGAATGAACAATGAATTTGACAAATACTGTATACTCCAAATTGAAAGGATTCATCGAAAAGGATTAATATACCTCTCAATTCGTTGTCATATATGTTGAAATATTTGCATATTTCAAGTGTTCCGAAAAAATGCCACGATAAATTGAGCAGGTACGGAAGATCTGCATAAGCCAGCTGAATCAAAATGCATGATTCTCAGGGGCTCGCGAGAAATATATTCTTTCATTTCAAAACGAACAAAAAAATCTGAGTATTTATTCGAATTCATTGCTTCGGATTCTGAAAAAAAAATAAACACTGTCATGATGAACTTCAGGCGACTTTGTTTTTGTTTCGCATTTCGAGAAATTTACATTGCTTTTAAACGCGGGATCGTCGCTCAGTTTCAAGTCTTTCAACCAGTGTTTGCAATCGTTGCACCTGAGCTCGCAAACCTTTCAATTCGCTTCCTTGTTCGTGCCAACCGTCGACGAGAGCTTTGAAACTGATTTGCAGCTTGTTGTTCGGCGAAGAGTCGGAAATCAATTTCGACAAAATAGTGTCAAACTGGTGAACAGTGTCGTCGAAATTTCTTTGCAAGTGCGAATGCGCCTTTTCCAGGGCATCAACTCGCTGCCGGGCATCCTGCGTGAGGAAATACGTTCCCGCGACTTGTTCCTTGGAACAAATCAATTGGTCGGGACTTGATATTGTGACATTTGATGCCCAAGAAGCGTTTTTGTTTTGTAACAATAATGCTTCCGTCGTGATGTTATTGAACAGCAGGGGTTTCGTGGAATTCTGCTGCGAATGACTCGCGTTATTCCTTCCCAACACCGTGTCAACCACTGAATCCTTCATCGTTTTCACCCGTTTTAAAAGTTCTTTCCGGAAACTGAATCTCGCAGCTGGTTGAGACACATTCGTCATCGGGGCTTGCGTGGGTTCTGGAAATTTCGAATAAGTGCAGGAAGTTTCCATTAAATGGAATGCTCGGGAAAGATCGTCCAACTTTTGGTTCACATCCATCAGTTTCTCTTCCAATTGCAGTCCTGTTTGTGTCTGGAACTCTGACTTGATGAGTAACTTGTTGCTGTTATTGAGAGGCTTAGAAAGCAGTCCTTCGAGTTTTTGAACCCGGGAATGAAGTGCGATCAAGGATTTCATTTTGGAGTAATCCACAGTGACTTCTGGCTCTGTGGGCTACGAAAAGGGATAATCTTTTGTATTGTTTATTTTTAAAAATAAATAAAAAATGTTACTGCCCACGGATATACAGTAAATTTATATATAGACTCTCTGTAAAACGATTTTCTTTGTTCAACAATGTTTTGTCCCACAGGGGTTTTCTAAAACCATGGTCCAAGACCTTTTCTTGGGACTACAGGCTGTCAAATTTTCAAAAAATGTTTTTTGGACTGGAAAATTTCCCAAAAATTTTCTGCAGACTAGCAAAAATAGTATTACACGCAAAGATAAAACGAAACTCTCCTTACAACGATTTTCTCTGTATAACAATTTTTTGTTACATAGGGGTTCTCTAGAACAGGGTTCCCTAACCATTTTGGATCCCTAGACTGGAAAAATTAAGATAAAAATTTTACAGGCAAATTTCCACAAAAAAAGGTCTGCTGATTGAAAAGTGAAAGTTTTTCAGAGAAGTTTGCAGGCTCACACAAGTTTTATTAGAAAGAATTCATGGCAGGTATTTAAAATGTTTTTGCTCTTTCATAAAAATTCGGTAAAGAACCAATGAAGCAGCTACAGTGAAATGTCCTCAAAAATTAGAAAGGTGGGCTTAAAAGGTTCCTCCGAATGAAAAATTGAAATAATTAATTTCAGCAGGTGAACATTTTTCTGAAGTGTAATTAGGAGAAAAGCCAACACTTTTTTCATCAGATAATTTCAACTGTTCTCAAAGTCAACCTTAAGATCCAAGCAGATGCAACTGACCTCAAGAAAATGTAACAGGCTCAAAATATTTACCTAGATAAAAAAACGTTATTATCCTGCATTAATCTTGTAATTCTGAAATGGTTTTCTGCATGAATATAACGAAGAATTACAACATAAATTTATTTTTGACTCATTCAAAAAATAAATGAATTATTGTTTCACTGAACATCCGGTCCCAAAAACAAAAATATATTAGCCACACTTTTCAAGGAATTGCCGCATTTTACTCAATTTTCAATTTAAAGGTCTGTCACAGTTTCCGCGGTCAGTGAACTACTGAATATAGCACAATTTTTACTTCAAATATAAAATCTCACGATTTTTTTTTTTTGAAAACCAGTCGAATTTTCTAGTTCACTCACGGTTGCTGACGTGAAAGCAACAAATGCTATGACGAAAGACAACTGCCAAAAGAAGGAATCCCCCGGCATGATGCAGCTGATGGCAGATTATTCCTAACAGAAATTCAAAATTCAACCACTCGCTTTTTTTTAGTGCTAAAAAATGTGGACTCTGCTTTCGGAAGCGTTTCCTTTATTCTTCGCGCAAAATATTCTGTTTAGAGAAAAGAAGGGCCAAAGGATTTCTTTAAATTTCGAAAACTCATTACCAATTAAAAAAGGAACCGTTGTTGTTAGATGAGAGAAAAAAAGGCTTGAACACATGGCAGACACGATGAATGGGTTGAACTGCGTCACGAGTTCTTCGGTGCTCTTTGTCAGTTATTTTTCTGTGTGCGCAATAAAATTGTAAACATATATACGAGACACACGTTCACAAGTGCAACCAGGAATTCGTCAAAGTGTGTCAAGGTTTCGTTTGCGTCACGACAATAGGTATTCTCGACAAATAGAATAAATAAACTCGATGATTTTATGCTTAGTACTAATACTACTAAGTAATCGTTTTTTTCTCTCTCTCGTTCAGCTACAGTAAAAAAGAATGAGAGAAAAACGTCCTTAAACATGTTGATTATTTAAATTCATCTAGGTTTTGACAGAGAAACAGATTTGTTCCAGGCTGGCACCTTTAAGCAGTTATTCTAAAACTACTCACGAACTTTCGATAATTAAAGTTCTAAAATGTTTAAATGAATATATTACTTCGTAATAGTGATTTTCAGGATTTGAAGATATTAAAGGGGCTTTTCATCAGTTTTTCTCCTAATCAAACTGGAATCAATCCTATGCTAAAAATGTGTACTCTACGAGCGAAACTCTGACCTCATGGAAATGAAATGTGTTTCAAATGATGGATTCCAAATAATAATTATAGAGATTTTAAAGCAGTTTTTTAATTGGAAAATTATCTTTTTCTAAAATCGTAAGAACAGTGATGAAATCAAACTGGATTCAATTTAAAGTTGATGATACTTCTGGAAATAGTAATTCTGCGCAAGCAATATGATTCCAAGACTAAAAGAAAAATGAATGTCCCATTAATTATGATCAAGTTTTCAATTTAATTAATCTAGTGTTGCATTATATGAAGAACGTTTTTCACAATACTGTGCCTCAGCTTTTCGAGCTTTTATGTTGATTGTAAGAAATTCTTTATTCTTGGCTAAAACTTGAGACGATGAGACCTTTTTTGCACTATAGCTTCAGCTTGTGCTAATTACTTTAACCTTTTTCATTTAGAAAATAGTAAAGCATCTGTCAGGAAGAAATCTGTTTTTTTTTATTATTGATTTGAATAACAAAAAGGACTTGAGCTGTTTCATGTTGATCATGAACCTCCGACATTGTATTTTTTTCATCATCTTCAAAAAGGAAACAATTGAGAAGTTTTCTCATTAATCACAACTAATAGATTTCGTGTTCTTAAGGGCGTCAATTTAACTTTCAAAAAACCCCTCATTCGTCGATGTTCTTGGGAAAATTGAGCTCTTGCTCTGAATTCCCACTTGTGGGTTTTTCGTCCTTCTGCAAAAAGAAAAAAAAAATAATACAGCATAAGAAAATTTCCCGAACTTGTCCTTTCCATGGTTGCGGGGAAAATCCTATCCTGAAAAAGTCCCCAAAACCTGGGAAAAACAGACAAAACGCAATGTCACCGGAGCAATCCCGAAAAGTTACGAAACGCCAATCACAATTCCCTTACAACGTGACACCAAAAAAAGTGCACAGTCGCGGGAAGGCGACACGTGAAAATCCAGATTTTTGTCTAAATTTCAAAATTTTTTCTTACTATAAAAGAGAACATGAGTTTGGCCTTGCTGCCTCAGTCGTGTCGAATGCCTCACTTTTGATATGTTCGTGCACACAGAAAATTTGGAAAGAAAAAAAAACCGTGCACTGTAATTCAAAAAGGACTGAGATAAAATATAAGCCGCGATGAAATTGGCACGAGATATAAATGTCCTCTTATTTGGCGTTTTAACTTCAAGCAAAATTTCAACATACGAGCCGTCGCCTTGTATGAAACCCTAATTTGAAAACTTCGCTCGTTTGATACTTATTCTCACTTGGACAAATTTATGGTCAGCAGCATCTTTAGTTGCTTGTTCATTTGCTCCTCTGCTGTTTTGTCTTCTGTGTTTCTCGATTCTCGGTCATTTTTTTTCATATCCACTGCGTAAAACTCTTTCTTGCGCTTGTAGTTTTTCATTCGTGCTTGATAATTTTCTCTGTGGTGTAACTGATGCTAATGAAAAATTCATAAGTTTAATTCGTCTCTCCGACTCAATCACAGTATTCTGAATTCGATTCGCGAGAGAATTCGAAATTGATTAATTAATAAAATGGTGGCACTAAAACCGACACCGATTCAGTGCAACGAGTTGCCCGCGTCCGGCGGAGCTTCTCAAATCGCGGAGTTTTTCGAAGGAAAATGTATCTTTGTTACCGGAGCAACGGGATTCATTGGGAAACTATTGGTCGAAAAACTATTGAGATCGTGTCCGGGAATAAAGAAGATTTACTTGTTGGTCAGGGAAAAGAAAGGTCAGCACGTTCAAGAAAGGGTCGATCATGTGCTGCAAAGCAAGGTGAGCAATCGCTGTTGACTTGACAAATGCAATTCTCCGGAAAGGGTTAGAAACAGTGTCAATATGGATGTTTCTTGTGTGCGCAGCAAGGGAAATACTTGCAAAAGAAAATAAGCGAACCGTACTTGCAACATATCAGCAGTAGCATTCTCCAAAATTCACTGTTTTAATTGTGTTCCGAATCTACTTCAAAAAAATTCCACCAGTCGGCAAAAAATTTTCTTCAACGAACCCCGTGCATTTCAAGAAATACTGCGTAACAAGTAGCCAGTTCTATTGATTACTCATATTCCACCGAACAATTCAGCGAGTTCGCACTGCGCAAAATTGTTGATTTGTTTTGACGGGATGTGATGCAGGGTCGAGAAAATTTGGTCTCAATTTGGATTTCTTCGAATGTGTAAAATTTCTGTGAAATGTTCCGAAGACGAGATAATCGCTGTAATTGCTGCAACACTTTTTCAATTAAATTGATAATCAAAGGTTAAATAATGAAGCCGAGTACGTATATCTTTCAGGAATATTGAAAAAAAAGACGTTGGATTGAAAAGAGATTTTCTCGACAGAGTAAATTCGCATAAAATCCAATCAAGATTAGCGAATTGAAAATAGCTTTCAAATAAAAATTATCTCCCTTAAACTGTACCCCCATTGATTTGCCTGAAGAATTACATTTACACTTTTACACCGAATATTTAAATACTGTGCATGAATGTTCGATTCTGCTTTTCCTTCTGGGAATGCAATGTTTCCCTAGTTAAACGTCTTTATCTGTTTAGGCCTTCGATTACATCCGGGAGAAGAATCCACAGAATTTAGATAAAGTCGTGGCGGTGGCCGGAGACCTGACGTTACCCAACCTCGGGATTTCGTTTGAAGACGAGCAGAGTTTAATCCGGGACGTGTCCGTTGTGTTTCACTCAGCAGCTACAGTGAAATTTGACGAGCCGCTAAAGAACGCCATAAACATGAATGTCACCGGAACTCTATCAGTGGTGAATCTGAGCAAGAAATTCCACGATTTGAAGGTAAGACGACGCGTTGTAATTATGATATTCCCTCGATCTCCTCAACCAGAGTCCGAAAAAAGTGGGTTTCCGAATTTCTTCCTCGCAGGCTTTCGTGCATGTATCGACAGCTTATTGCAACTGCGATCGGAAAGTGATCGAAGAAAAGATTTATCCAACGGAACACGACCCAGAGAAAGTCGTTGAAATGAACTCCTGGCTGGCAGATGACGCCATGAACAACTTGTCCGAAAGGTACAATCAAAAGAATACCATATTCAACATAAGTCAGGACTTACTTTTTTTTCGCCGAAATTGGCACTCATATAAGCATTTGATCTTACTTGAAATTCGAATATCAAGTTATCTCTCCAGCGTTTTTGGAAGAACTAGATACATACGCAGTATTCTACCGAGGATGCGTCGAAGTACAGTAATCATAGTACAGTAATAATATATACTGTATACCCCCACCGTTCACAACTCTGTGCTGAAGAACTTCTTTTTCCCACTCGAAATCCTCTGTCACCAATAAAATTATTCACATGCGATGCATGTTTTACAGTTTGCGTGGAAAGAAGCCGAACACATACACATACACGAAAGCATTGACGGAAGCGCTGCTCGGGAAAGTCGGCGCCGGGATGCCGATTGCCATATTCAGACCCACGATCGTCGCCAACGCGTACAACGAGCCGTACCCAGCTTGGGTGGATTCAGCCAACGGATGTGGCGGGCTTATGGTTGCAGTGGCGAATGGTGTTTGGCGCTATTCTAACACGGTTCCAGGCGCTATCGCCGATATTGTTCCCGCAGATTTCTGCATCAACGCCATGATTTCGCTTGCTTGGAATTTAGCCAACTCGACTAGGTTCGTAAGGACAAAAATTGACTCATCCATCGTGTGTAGCGGTGATTGGTTCTTATGCTCACAGATTTTGGCTTGATGTCGCTCATAGTTAGTCTACAAGCGCTTCTTAATAAGTTCCCTTGGTCTCCATGAGTTTTCTATATGTACGGTAACCTCAACGGACACATCTCCTGCTGTTGAGCGTTTAGGCCGTGGCAAATTAACTTCAGGGCTTCGCGCCTTCCTAGATAAATACTGTATTCCAAGAGGATTTTTTTTACTTTCCCTCAATGCTAATCGAAGTTCATCTCCGAATAAATAAATAAATAAAAATGTACCTAAACGAAGCATCATCAGCCCCACATTAGTCACGGGCGCAATTCAAGGAGACCTGAAGTATTATACTGCACCTTTTCACACTTTATTTTAATCTCAAAGCCACATAAAAAAAAACAATATAGGTCTATATTACTTGCCTCGATGTAGAAAAACAATGCAGCCTGTAAATACATTTATGAATCATGTGAACTTTCGCAGAACACAAGAAATCGGCGTGTACAATTTTTCTTGCGGAAAGAAGGCGCTTTCGTGGGAAAAGGCCATGGGCCTCGTGTGCACTAGTGCTCGTTCTGACTCCTGCTTCGAGACAACGCTGTGGTACCCAAGTCATTCACAGTACACGGACTCAAGAATATTCAAACTGCGAACACTCCTGGGCGAAGCTCTTCCCGCGTACGTCATTGACGTGTTTCTGAAAGTTCTGGGAAAACGACCGATGGCCAAGCGACTGTACGAAAAAATACAACGAAATGCGGCAGAACTGCAATATTTCATGAACGTAAGTTTCTTGCCATCCGAATGCAATTGATTACGAGGAAAAAGCCGTATTCGCTCACATGTAAGATGCGCAGTATACTCGAAGTATGACGACAGAATCTACGTGCATCTCAGAATCAATGTATGCTGCTGTCATAACTTTCATCGGCAAAATGCAAATTATATTACGTAAAAAATATGCACCGAAATATTTAAATGATAAATATTTTATTTCCAGTGATTAACTCTAAGCCCATTACCCGAGCTAGCTGTAAGCGTACAGAAAGTTTACAATTTCAACAAATTCAATTGAAAATATGAGAAAGCATCCGTCGCATCTTATTCTCTTCGCCATATTTTGAAGAAGTGACGCATGGTATTTATGATGCTTTCGGTCTAAATACAAATTCGGTTTTGATCGCTGAGATCTTGAAGAGCGAATGAAAATTGACTGCTGCGCTTCATTTTTGTGTCAAGATGCGTTCTCATACGCGATACTGTACTGTATATCGATACTTGATTGTGACTTCATTCTTTCAGGGAACCTGGGAATTCAAGACCATGAACGTTAAAGAACTTTGGCATAAACTCAACCGAGAGGACAAGAAGACTTTCGGTTTTGACATCGAAGATTTGGACGTTGAGAAGTTTGTATACTCCGGTTTGTTTGGGGTGCGCACGTATTACCTCAAGAATGACCCGAAAACAGTCGCTTCGAGTCACAAGAGGATTCAAAGGTAAATTATCTTGATTTTCCGAAAAAATAATGGGCACACAAATAATTCTGAAAACACGTATTCTCTTCAGATTATACTGGCTCCGACAAACCACGATTCTGACATCGATTTTAGTAACGATTGAATTTGTGGTGAGGATGATGGGAATGAGAAAGGTTTCCCCCTTGAGGCTTCTGAAAACCATTTGGTTCCTTTTCATGCGATCAAGTTTGAAAGCTGTCAAGTATTCATGACCAAATCTTTCATGGCTACTTTGTTCATGCATATATATAGTTTACAAAAAATTTGTTGAACTGGGAAAATAAAACTTTTTTACAAAAGCACCGTAATGTTCTGGCTATGTTTAAAAAAATTTGTATTACAGCTGTAGTAACAATCAGTATGGACGAGGCTCACGTACAATATCATATGAACACCTTTACCACATTGTATCATGAAGCTCATTCCATAAATAGTACCATAGATACACCCGCTTACACCAGCATCAATGACGATCTTTTTATGGCTTCATAAAAAACAGACTGCCATGATACAGATGAGATCATGAGAAGAAATCCAAAATCAATAAATAAAAATCGTACACATTACATACAGTAAGATTTGTATATATTCCCCATTCAAAAGTAATATAAAATTTCACACAAATCCTGCGAGGTATTCCGCAATAAAAAGAATCACAACATTTTGCATTGAATGTTTTTGGATAACCTCTCATTCCTGATGATAAAATTGATACACTATACTGTATAGCGAGATGTTCTTCACAACACATGAATGCAATCGATAGACTTTCGTAAATACTCCGTTTCAGGTTTCAGCAAAAAAAGGTTCGGCAAAACTCTTACCAGCATTTACATGAAAAACTACTCCCCATCCAACAGAAGATATAATCCCAAAAACCAGGAGAACTTCGTAGTTCAATCTTTGAAAATGCACGCCTATCTTGAATAACGGTCAGAGACGTTCAGGTTTGCCTGGTTCTTCTATTGATCTATTTGATGCACAGTAGTTGAAGACGTGAAGTCATACGTCACCGTTCTTATTTTTCTGAAGAATTGATCAGAACCCGGCTCAACGGATTCTGACTATAGCTGGAATCCTAGTGTTCGCAAATCTCATCGGAGATGTCCCTCATCAACCTGACATTTTCGGTATGAGATATCACCGCAAATAAATGCCGCTGATATCCATTCAGACGCCTTTCAGGAGGAATTGAAATTTCTTCATGAATCACGTGTCGAAATTGTGAATCAAGCTGGACTTACAATGGTACACCATAGCTTCACAAATTCCTCCATCATTCCTGCGCTGGGTGGATTCGCATAGAGACTGCGGCTGGCTCGGGACGAAGTGGAAAAATCCCGTAAATATATTTGGCAACATCAGCAACTCTTAGCAATACATTTTTTTTATCAATGATCTTCTTCCCACGTTTCACCAGATGAGATTCCACGGCATTCGCAAATGTTTTACTAGAATGAGCAACATTACAGCAAAAGAGCCTTTAGCAGTGCGAAAGAACAACGCCAAGAAATCAAATCATACCATGGAAGCTTGTGCAGATGTAGTTAGTTTTGGATGAATATTTAAGAGTGTTCCATCACAGGTGCCAAACCGACTTATTCGCCAGCTCTATTAGTTTCTGCACGGTTTCACAAACAGCAGCCCGAAGTTCGACGCACGGTTTTCGAGAGCATTTTGTGATTCCCGCGAATGATTTCCAGCGCACTGCATGCCTATATACAGACAATATAATCAGAATGACATTTTTTCTGCTTTTCCTTTTTGTCATGGCTTACATACCCGACACTGTCAAACCCTGACATGCATTAACGTACCATCAGTCAACGACAAACGGAAGTAAAAGTGGTGATGAATTGAGAAGCTCACACAAATCCTCGTTTTTTGCAAGACAAGATTGCCGCGCTTGTCAATTTGCGTTATTCAATGCTGAATTATAGCTAAAAAAATTCTTCAAGATTCTTTGGCAATGAATATTTTCAAATTAAATGGTATTCATATCTTCCAAAATCTCATTTATGTGGTTCACGTCGGGGATGAAGCCGTTTATACGAAAAAGCATTGATTGATGTTTTCCTTTTCTTAAAATGAGCAGGAGAATTATATTAAATCACTTCGGGGATGTGCTGTTTCGACGATTTTCTGCCGGGGTTACTGCATATTTTTCGCCGTAACTCAAAGCTGTCGGGTAAACAAACGCATTTCCGCCTCTTATGAGAGTGTTTTACGACCCCAGGCAAAATTTTAAGGCCATTATTGAGCCTCCCCGTGTCCCATTTCCTGCTCCATTTGCAAAGGAACTCCTTTATTTCAACGTCGTCGTCGTTGAAACAGTCGTATATAGGCCTAATCGTTTAACAACCTTTGTTGCGCGTGTGCAACCACCCGGGGATTTTCGGTTTTCTCGCCATGTCTACTGATGTTTTTCTCTTGCGAGAGTCGGGGGATGGGGGTTCACAGGCGTTCAATAAGCAACTGTTCAAATCCGGAAAGAGCCATAAATTCCAGTTAACTGCTGCTTGCCCGGATACCCTTCGACTTACTTCGGGAGTAGATTCGTGGGGTTCTGCTTTCTGTTTTTTAATTACTTCAGGGACATTTTTTGGGTTAAATAATGCAGAATGGGGCCATCTCTGTAAGAGTGCCTTCCTCATCGTTTTGTTCTCACTTCGATATTTTCGACTGATCATCAATGCATGTAGGTTTATTTCTGAGAACGACATCTGTTCCCTATACCAAACGCGTTCAAGCAACGGCTCAAAAATTAGCTTATGCGCAGCTGATTCCTGGGAAACGCTTCTTCATGCAGTTTCTTCATGGCGGATTTGGTAAGTGCTTCCGGTCTTCAACGGATATTCTCGGTTCAGTATTGAACCTCAATGAATAGGTTCTCCCCCTCAGAATATGGATTCATGATGAGTATGTTGGTCTGGGGTCCAGATTCGCCCTAAATCTTTCATGGTTCTTTATTATCAGGGTTCGCTGGACATTTTTACTGATCGTTCATTATCTGTCCGAGATTATTTTAAAATGTCCCTCATTAGCTGACGAATGACTCATTCGAACATCATGGGAAAATCCGTGAGGACGAAAGTAAAATGCTGTGTAATTAAACGAAAGAGTGCAGCAATACTGTATACTTCATGCCGAACTGAATACATATCGAAATTTTTGATTATAATTTGACGATTTTTACTTACCTGGAAATTTAACAGACCATCTTTTATAACATACAAGCCCATTCACAACATTTGAATCCAATTGATGTTGATTAAAATGCATTTTACGCAAGAAATCTTCGAGACGGATCGTACGTTTCTTTTTCAATTTTTAATGCAAGATTTCAAGTTCGTTTTGCTTATAATATGTTTCATATTCCTTGTAAGTTATCGATACGCCAATCAAAGGAACGGTTTATTCTCATTTAGAACAATTGCAAGTATAATTTGCATTTTTTAATTATCTCAAGATGAAATGAGATATAATTTGCACTTCGAGCTGAATTCCGATGTTTATAACCTCACACTTGAATAACTGCAAGTATTGCAAATTGGATGATTTAAAATTGTAGAAGCTTAATTATCTCATTAGTACGCGTCCCAACTTATTTGAAAAATTAAATCTTCTGATTTAGCTGAGACAACACTGACATCATGCAAAAATATTAACTCTGTGTATTGATGCTGGGCATCTTTCGCAGCTTCTTGTTCTCTGGATGAATCCGGGCATTTTTCAAAATACACTAGAACTAGATTAAGTGACACGCGATCGACGATTTCTTCAAGGATGATGAAGAGGAAAATAATTTTTCATATATTTGTATGCCTCATTCTAGAGCAGGCGTAAAAATAAATGGAATATCACAATAAGGGTGAATAACAGATGAACACCGAGATTGTTTTAATTATCTCAAGATGAAATGAGAACCACGCAAGAATGGAAGGTGACTATATACGCGCCAGTATCAATTCAAGAATGAAGTACTGTACAGTACCACCTATACATCATCCACCAGCATGCAATATACTATTTATGGAACAAGCATGGGAATCAGGTTTTGTATACATACAGGTTTTGTATACATACTCCAGATTATGTGAGGGATAAACATCAAAATATGGTCAGTACAGTATTAAAATACAGAATAATACAGTCGAGATTTAAACTTCTGGAGGAAGAAAGTAGGCTTCATGAAAGAAAGTAATAGCCATTTTCCAGTGCACAACGGCATCACTGCACACGGATACTTCAGTTGGAATCAGTTTTGCATTACATTCGTGTACAGCGTATTCAAAATATATTCCGCACCCATATTCACACATTTCTCGGGTACGATACTGACTATAATTCGTACAATATTTGGGAATGTGTGCCTGAGCAATCTCCTTAGTTGTTCCCAGATCAGGAATGAGCGAATGACTCGAACCCACGAACAAATTGAGTCATCCACCCATATACAGTGTAGCTTTCAAGCAGAAGAAAAACAGAACCGCTCGCAGTGGAGGAAATTCCGTTCATTGCATCACACACTTGCGCAGTAGAACCGTACGTGACGGCAGGCATTCACTATAGAAAGATTATGCAGGAGGCCCATAAAACGATGGGTATCAACACGATTTTCGCACAAGGGGAGGAGTGGTGAGGATTCTTTTTTTTCGCCTGCTTACAGTACTCCCACAAGACTTCGATCTCGGTTTTGTTCTTCCGAACTACCGCACGTACGTTCCCGCATTTCTACGAACGATCAGAATATGTGCAGGACTGGAGAACCTAATTGTTACAGAGTACAGAAAAACAATAATGCTGGAGGAAACGTTAATCTGGGAGGCACGCACAACTCTTCTGTCAGTATGCTTGAAATACTTCATGTCGTTTACCATGACATGGTTCCCTTGGCAGAAGTGATGTCGGTAGAAAACTGTATTTATGTGGATAACCTGCAGTATAGCCACGTCGACTGCGCGTGTGCTTCGAAGA